CCAATCCAAGGAGAATCCAGCCGACATTGCTTCTCGTGGATTACTATTACCTGAATTAAACGGGTGTAGGTTGTGGTGGCAAGGCCCAGAGTGGTTAAAACGGAAAGATATTTATTTGATAATGAAATATCAACTACTGAAGAAACGGACTTAGAAAGAAAAATTATTATCAACTCCAATCTTAAAAAAGAACATAAATTTCGCTGGTCCACTGCAAATTTTTATCACAAGAGGTCGAGGAATCAAAACTGATAAGGCATATATTTGCATCTTCATCTGTATGGCTACTAAGGCAATTCACTTGGAGCTGGTTGGAGATATGAGTGCTAACGCATTTTTAGGAGCCTTCAAAAGATTTGTAGCAAGAAGAGGTAAATGTAGTCTTATTTGGAGTGACCAGGGTTCAAATTATATAAGAGCTAACAGGGATTTGAAGGATTTATGGATATACTCGCGAAGATGGCACACAATGGCACTTCCATCCACCATAGAGTCCAAATTTTGGTGGTCTTTGGGAGGCAGGCGTGAAGTCTATTAAATACCACCTAAAGAGGATTTTAAATAGACACCTTACATTTTAAGAGATGTCCACCACTCTGTGTCAAATAGAAGCCTGTTTGAACTCTAGACCTTTGTGTTCAATAGATACAACAGACATTGATTCTTTGAATATACTCACTCCAGGACATTTTTTAATTGGTGAGGCTCCAAATAACATTCCAGAACCGGACTTAAGGCAAATTCAAGTAAATAGATTATCACATTGGCAGTATACTCAGAGATTATTACAGGACTTTTGGCATAGATGGCAGAATGAATACTTGGCTAGGCTGCAACAAAGACCAAAATGGTTAAAACAAACTCAAGAGTTTAAAATCGGTGACATTGTGCTTATTGAGGAAGAAAATCGTCCTCCTGGGAAGTGGTCTTTGGGGCGTATTGTACAAAAGCATCCTGGACCGGATAATATATGTCGTGTTTATAGTTTAAAATGTAGAGATAAAATTTTTAAAAAAATCTGTTGCTAAGTTATGTTTGCTTCCAATTAATGATTAAAATTAATGTTTGTTACAAAAGTTTCTAGTATTTAAGATAATTTATTTAATGTTTAAAACAAACTATGGTGTTAGTTTATTTGCTTATATCTCATGAGTAAAATCAATTCATAGTATGATATGGAAATTACTGAATTATTTAATTTACTTTACGTTGTTTCTACTTTCTTTTATAATTTAATATCCTTATATTTTCTTAGTTAATGAATAATGTTTGTTTTATAAAAACCGAGGGGTTTTGGTGGGCGGTATGTTGTGTTTACAATTATACATACATACATTTTCTATGTGTCGTGTAAAACATGTTTGTAATGAATCAGTCACAGAGTACTTTGTATAGAATCAGTTTGCAATAAATACTCCTCAGAACAAGACGTTATTTTATTTACAAAAATCTATAGTCAGTGCAAAGTGAACCTTAAATACAATAACAATGTGTCCTAGACATATCATTTTAGTGCCGGTGGTAAGCGGGTTTGTTGTAGAAATACGGCTTTCCCGTGGACATCGCACACACATACTGTTTGTGGGCGGCGTCGTAGTGCATAGAGATACGTCGGCTTTCTTTCGGATTGGGATGAGTGTGTTTGGTAGTACTTTTAAGTAAAGTAAAGTAAAGTAAAGTTACAGCCTATCGGCTGTAACTTTATATATGACGTAGTTGCATTGATGCTTACTGCTACTTGATTCGACACATTCTTGTGGTTCTGGTCGATGGAGGTATGCGGGTAATGTTGTCTGCTGGGATACACCTTAGGACCGTAGGACCTTGGGATGGTATAAGCCCGACGATAATCGTATTGATGCTTATTGCGTTCTGCAACATTGCGTCTCTGCGATGGTTGTTTGGTGGGACGCTATTCTCCATGGCACTCTCTTCATTCTGGTTTGACTCACAACTAATTACCTTTGCCCAAGTCGGGTCCCTTCATTACGGGACTGCAGACTGTCTGACCTCCATGATGTTTTATATTTATGTGGAGAATATAATGAGACAGATTTCACCAGACAGTGGTAAGATGTTAACAAGGAGGAAGAAGCTTGTACGTCATACCTGTCCGAATCAATCATCAGCAGAAGGTCGAGGCCGCCGACTGTGTGCCCATTCGCATCAGATACCGTAGTATATATAGTAGCTCGTTTTACTAGCTGTGAGAGCCTCAGCGACAACGCAAAATTCCACGCCTCTTTCCCATTGTTGTCGGTTTTCTGAAAATCCAACTCCCCTTGTTGCCTCAGCCAGTATCGGCTCGTCGTCGACATATCGAGTGACGTGCAGTGACCACACTTGGAAGAGATGGCCAAATTGGCCTCTAAAAAGCTTAGCGTACTCAGCAGACCGGGACAGTATTTCATGCTGGCACACCATCTGCAAATTTACAAGACGTTCCCATCTCTGGGCTGGGGCTCCCCAGTGCCAGCTCCTTCCACTGGACCGCATCCAGCGCAGAGCAGCACGAATAATCGACGACCGAGTGCTTTCCGATCGGCTCGATTCACTGGCTCTGCGAAGATGTGTTGCATCTCTTTGCGTATTTTATCGCATATATCATGGGGGTTGCTCTAAAAATTGTTAGGATTAATCCCAGCTGCAAAATTTAATAAACGCACTACGCGACAAACCTCCAGATACCATTCATACCATCTGAAGGCTTCGCGATTCACAACAGTACGTTTTACCAGGAGTTTTCTTCCGCGTACGACCTCTCTGTGGAATAGTTTACCACCGAAGATTTTTCCGGACCGATACGACCTAGGGACCTTCAAGAAAAGAGCTTACTCCTTTTTTAAAAGGCTGGCAATTCACCTGCAATTCCTATGGTGTTGCAGTTGTTCATAGAAGGCGGTAGTCACTTAACATCAGGTGAACCATGTGCTCCTCTCGTCTTCAAAAAAAAACCTCGTTGTGATCTTCCCTCAGAAAAACCAGCTGTGCAGTGGGGTACCGATTTAGAGCCATATTAGAGACTTCACTGAGGTGCTCAAACAGCCTCATTGTCTCCTGGTTACCGCTGTGAAATTGTTAGACAAAATAACAAATAATTTAATCCATTCCTATGTCTATCCGTACCAAAATCGTGGAGAAAGTAGGGTCTTTAAGGCAGCGAAAATGCTTACAGCAGATATCATTGCGGACATATACATAGACTATGGTGCGCTGGTAGAAATTATGCTCAAATGTGTAGCCAGGGTAGTAAAGGTACCCCACATCTTGAGGACATCTGATCTGTGCCACGGTCAAGAAGAGTAAGTGGGACTTGTCAAGTTTAAGGTGGTAGTGTACCGCATTGAGATTACAGTACAGACCTCGGATGTTTGTGAAGTATACTTTGATAGAGACGGAATGCAATCGCTGTACAAACTTACCCTTCTTTTCTTGTAATGAATTGCGTGGTGGAGTGAACAGGTTGATAGAATGGCATTAGACGAGGCGTCACACATACACCCTAGGGATACAAACAGAGTCACAGCATCGATGGTACCTGGCATGGAGACTGCAGTTACGTCCGAACCCCCCTGAAAATCAACATCAGGTCATTAATTGGGCCCCCAACTACCTATGGTTAACTTGCGGTACAAACGTGCTTCGGATTCCGCTAGCCTTCATTTAACCAGACACTCAACATCAATAAACGGCCGCTTTGCAACCGCGCAACGGAACTGATCAGACCGAATCTCCCAAGGAAATATGTTTCACCTAACATCATACCGGAACACGACTTGGGCCGTTTGTCAGTATCTGAGAATTTAAAAATAACCTGTGTAGCGGCGCTGGTCGTCGCGCTACTAGCACACCGAAACACACCGAAGCCTAAATCGCGCTATCAACATTCCGAATCATAAACAGTATATATAGAACATCTCCGAACTATCACTTGGAGTGTTGGCCGCTCCCCGGGCAGAACACCTTGCCCGGCGGGAGATCTCCCCTTTTCCTTCCACGGCCACACCTGTGACAGACAACCATGGGGACACAGATACCTAAGTGACTCCACAAGTGACACAGACTAGATGTCCTCAAGATGTGGCGTACCTTTATTACTCTGCCTAGACATTGGAGCATAATTTCTACCAGCGCACCATAGTCTGTGTATATGTCATTATCCTAACAATTTTTAGAGCAACCCCCGTGATATATGCGATAAAATACGCAAAGAGATGCAACACATCTTCGCAGAGCCAGTGAATCGAGCCGATCGAAAGCACTCGGTCATCGATTATTCGTGCTGCTCTGCCGTCCAGTGGAAGAAGCTGGCACTGGGGAGCCCCAGCCCAGAGATGGGAACAGTATTGCATGTGAGGCTGAACCTGCGTCTTGTAAATTTGCAGGTGGTGTGCCAGCATGAAATACTGTCCCGGTCTGCTGATAGCTGAAGGTACTCCGTGTTAACTTTGATATCGGGACGTCAGTCAACTCAGTCCCCCGTGACTATAGGTCTAGGGGTATTAAAAATAAAGTAATTAAACGCGATAAAATCCGTAAAAGTAGTTTTAATCAATGTTATAGATACCAAATTTTTACAGTAGCAGCGGAAAAAAAATGCACGACCCCATATAAAAATAATATTATCTCTTGGATGCTGTAAAGGCATTTAATCAACTACTGTATTCTGTGTATTTCTGATAAGCTTAATATTTAAGCTCCTAAATATAATTTAAAAAGCGATGTACAATAAAATAATTAACTACTTATTAGATGTTTATCAATTATAGATGAAGTTATAAATAAAATTGTCACTTAATTGGAATTTTATCTCTCATAAATGTCAACTTTTCTCATTGATAAGTTTATACTGACCTCCTGGTTTCAATTTGCTTATTTAAAAATATAATTTGCAATAATGTATTCAGATGACGCAAATTATATATCTATATATTCTGAATCATTTTAAAATTTCGTTAAGTTATCTGCCACCACGTTGAAAGCTTGTTTAACTTGTCAAAATGAGTAAGGAAATTTATTTGATCCTATTCGTCATTAGCTGTTTGGTACATGAATTGCACACATCAAAAGGTTTGTACATATTATATTGCTGAAATTTGTAATTATGTTAATTTTACAACTAAATAATTTCAATTTTATTTATTATTAATAAATTATAAATATAATAATATTTTTCGCAATATTCAAATTTGAATTTGAATACAATATTCCCCGACTAAACTCAATAAAAAACATGCATAACGTTTTAAATTGATGGAGTTATAATAATTATCATTAGTCATGTCGATGGATGCAGGTAGCCTAGCCCCGTGTTTTGTGGCATTGCTTCGGGGAAAGTCTATGTTCAATAATAGAATTGTAAAAGGATGTAATGATGATGATGATAAAAATTATTATTATTCAGTCAATGTTGTACAAACAACGTATGTTAAAAAATAGTATATTTCATTACGATTGCGGAAAGCCTGTCACTGCAAAGAGTTCCGTCAAATGTCTACCCAAGCCGAGGCCCAGCCAAAGGTGAGAGTTGACAGTCGGAACACGTTGCAATGACGGTTCCACACGTGTACTGAACAACTATTTTTAATACAGTTTCAAAAAAATGAAGCAATTTAATAAAATAATAAAAGCACAATAAACTCAACTAACTAATTATTTATTTCTTATAAAAGTTATAATTCACATATACATTGAAATTGGTACAGTTTTTTATAATAACTGGGGAAGTTTTAGATTGCATATTTACTGTTTGAGACAAACTATTACTAATTTTTTAAAAAATGGCGTTTGCTAGTTGTAGGAATTGGATTTGATGAATTATCATTATCAACGAAGGTAGATGGTCGAGCGTTCTCTTTAGTATTGTCATGTGAAGGAGACGGACTGGACTTTAAATTAATGGATTGTGTGATTTTTTCCCAGTTTCTAGTTTGTTGTTTAATGAATCAGCAATATAGCCTTCTGCAACTTTGTCTGACTTCCAACCTCCTAGTCGCTTTAAGGACGTCAAATTGGCTCCTGAATCTGCCAATAATGTAGCAGAGGTCCTCCTGAAGCTGTGCCCAGTATAATACTCAGCATCCGGCAGACCAAGAAACGCAGCTATTTCTTTTGGCATATTACCAAAATTATTTATCCCGATTGCTTGAGCTTCTACACTTCCCTTTTTGATAATTTTTGAAAAAACGGTCGGTTTTTGCTTTTTGGGACCGCTGATTCATATATTTTTGCACTATTCTAAGAAAATCTCCTTCAACAACAAAGCTTCTCGGTATCTTATTTTTTGTATTCAGAATCATGATTAGTAGCATTTTTCCGTGGGCTTCAATATCTTTTAAAGTAATATTGGCTAACTCCTCTCTACGGCAAGCTCCAACAACGCCAAAAATCAACGCAACCTACAAAAAAAGGGATTTGATTAATATTTTTTAAATAATATATTGGCTGCGTTTGGCAAAAAAGCACTAGGAAGCGCTTGTAAGCAAAATGGCGATCGTAAGCGGTAAGCGCTGTCAAATCGTAAGTAGCTATTTTCCTCTAGGACACGAAGTCAGCTTTAACTGGGGAACCTAACCTAATTTAAATATATGCTTGTATTCATATTAAAAACTTACCAATCATGAATTTCTAATAACATATATAATATGTTTATTCATGGAATTTCTAATAACATATATATTATGTTTATTCATGTCATTATACAACTTGAAACTAATATTCCACAAAACAACTTATAAACTATACTTCAAAACAAACAAAGTAAATAAGCAAAATGGCGGATTGTGTCAGTGCTACTGAAGTTAGCAAACGTGTCCTGGCCTAGCGCTTTTTTCTGCTAAACGCACCCATTGACTATTTTGCGAATTCGTTAACTGAATACTAAAAAAATATAAGTATTTATTAATAAACTACCTTTGTGGCTAAATAACGATCATCGGGAGCTTCGTTCAAAAAATTTTCCACGTCATTGCATGTTAATATTTTCGACTTTTTAGTTGTAAAACCGTCTGATTGTTGTTTTAAGAAAGCGTTTTGTTTTGGGTATTCACATGTATCCACGTTATTCCTTATTTTCAGCATACTTTTTATCACCGAAAACCTCGACCATAACGTAGAAGACTTTAGTTTTGCTGAGAGTTCGGAGAAGTATGCCAACAACATTTTCTGAAAAACTATTTGCTTTTTTCTCTTATCTCCAAGCAATAAATTCGTCGTATGTAGATATGTAGCGACTTTTTGACTTTTTCGGTAAAATGTTCTCCGAAGCATTTTGTGCAATTATACTGAATTCCGGTGGTGTTAATTTAAATAAAATATCGTCGAAATTACTCATTTTGTGCAACAAACAACTAAACTCGCAAATAAAATTTTTGGAAAATGGTGCCAACCGTAAAAGAATATAAGCAGAGATTTTTTTGTTTTTTTCACCCATTCTGGGTAGGCAAAGGAAACTATGCTCATACAGCCAAGTCTTAAGTAGAATTTTTTTATTGATATCAAATGAAAATGAAATTTAATGAGATGAAACGAAATGAAACCAAACCTAACTCATTGAATCAAATCATTCAATCTGATATTGAAACAAATTAGTAGCTTCTTTTTAGAAATATTTGAATGAATCATAAAAAATTTGAATTTTTTTAGTAAATACTTCGCGGTTGGATGTTTACCTTTTAATAGACATTATTTTAATAGTTTGGAAAGAGAACGCGCAAGTTCGGAAAAGGTAAAGAAAAAGCTCGAGTATGTAATAGCCCACAACCGAACGCTACACGTCTCTGCAATACGCAACTTTTTGAGCAACTGTATTAAAAAAACCATTCTAATGTTTACATTCATTCATTTATTCATTCATTACAGCGAATCAAAAGTTCACTACTGAAAGTAGTCTTCCGCATATATTGCCTCGTAGGGTTCCCCCCTACGCGGCAATTGCATGGTAACTATGGTAAGCCCTATTTGCCATAGTTACCACGTTTGGTAGGTGAGCTATCAACTGATTGAATGTCCACATGCCATTCATCAACACTCAACATTTCTTTACTTGATGAATGGAAGACGCATAATATTTTTGCGTATCACAATTTTTTGTTCTATTAAATATTATGATTTCGATTGCCATTGCGGGAATTTCCCTCCAAATATATAAGGCAATTGTCTGCCCTACTCATGGTTATTATATATCATTTTAGAGACTATTTTTACTTTTGTAAATAGGAACTTAAATTTTATTTAAAACGCTACAATATATTTTTCTTTTAAGTGCCTTTTATTAAATCATGCAAAGCTGGTGACCACGAATGTCTATTAGTCGCTAACACTCAAATCGCGATTCCCTACATCGCCGATGGCATTGCTGAACTTGAAATACCTGCATTGGAACCTATGCATTTTGAAAATATAACAATTGACCAAGGATTCTTCAAATTAATTTTACAAAATATGAAGGTCACTGGTGCAAGAAAATGCAAGGTTGCTGAGATGAAGTAAGTATATTTCCTTTATTTTATAAAACTAATTAGATCATGCTAAGTTTATTATAAACAATATTTTCTAAAAATAATATAACTGTAGTCTTCTGATAATATTTGTACTTTATAAATATCATTAGTTAATTTTCAAAACAGGCGTAACTTTAGAGAATCTACTATGAAGATGATCCTAGATTGCCCACTTGAAGCAACAGGCAGATATATTTTTACTGGAAGTTTTTGTTATCACACAATCAGTAATGAAGCGGACTTCTTAATACACGCAGGTACTTTTACGTTCTTAAGGATATATTTTTCCATTTCATATTAGCTGAAATGCTTGCTAACAAATGAGATGGTCAAAATGTGCCCCAAGCTGTAAAAATAAGACTACTATTAATTTAAATAAAAAAAAGAATTTTGAATAACTATTATCATTTCATAGCAGCTGTTGAAAAATAGTGAAGTTTAAAAGTATTTAAAGTGATTTCTTCTCTTTGAAGTTATTCTATAGCACCTTTAATGTGGCCATATAATACTTAAAAAGATCAGAGTAGGGAAAAAACAGCTAATCTCATAAATATACTTTATTTACGATATGTATAAAATCAAGCCTTCAATTAATGAATTAATACATTAAAATGATCAAAATACACTAAAGGATGGGATTTTATTTATTTGTTTAATACAGCAACAGCCTAAACATGCAACGTTACATTATAGAATAGGGTTATTTTACTTTAGTACTTGCAACACTGAATCCGTCCGTCAAGCATCAAAACAGTCATGGAGGTTAGAGAACAGGAGAACGAAGTAATCTATGGAACGACCGCTACGTACTAAAGCATAGCCCGCCTGTCCTTGAAAATTGTAGAATTTATAGCGACGCTGACGTCGGTGAGTAGTGACTGCGAAGAAAGCTGTTTATGAGTGCATGTAGATGAAGTTAGTTGAATAATGTACAGATTTTCTTCGCGGCATAAAGAAGTGAGAAAATTTTCATGCTCCGTAATTTTTGACAAAAAGAAAGATTAAAAAATGGAGAAATATTTTATTGTGCGTGGATGTGCAAGTGATATTGATAAGTGGGTGAAGCATCTGATCGTAAAAATAGACTGAAAATGACATTTATTGAGCGAATTTGGAGATCGCAGCGCCTCACTTATGGTGTCCATATTTCTGGGACACTATTTTCTACGGCGATCCTTCTCCTTTTATCTTCTTTTCGTTAACTTTCATGAAAACAGTCAAAGTGTCAATGTCAGACTTGATCTGATTCACGTTTATCGACTTACGCACCGTTTCTCGGTATAATATGTACGCTTTTCCTTCGTATTTGTGTTTTATCGTATTTTACTTTTATTTAATAAGTGCCGTAGCCCCTCGCGAGTGCTCCACTAATTATAAACGGTGTAATACATAAGTTTAATTTTTTTCTGTCTAATATACTTCGATAACTTATATAATTAAATTACAAAAAATAGTTACAAATAATAATTTCAAAGATTGAAAAAAACTACTGCCCTTGTTTTTTTAGCTAAACCAGTTAATATACATCCTAATCATCATATATATACATTAACCTACACAACACTCATCATAAATTGGAACTTTATTACTTATCTACATTGTGTAATAATGATAAAAACCGACTGCTAAAATCAACTTTTTTAAATCTTCGTAATTTTTGTCCACTACTGCGTAGCTACATGCACTTTTCTAGTTCTTTATATAGAAGACCGTACTTTCAAATGACAAAGATTTCATCTCTGTACAGTCTGGGGCACAGTTTTGTACAATATTTGGCTATCCTTTTATGATAAATATGTTTTGAAAAGAAATATTGATAATATTTTGGACATTTAATTATTAAATAAAATGTAAGGGTACTGACATTTGTCACGATTATAAGTTATTCCCTTATACACCTGAATTTCTTGTATCATAAATTAATGACAACTACAGAAAATCTTTTACGTTCTTAACTATGAAATATGATATGATTTATTGTAACTTGATATGTAGCTAGACAACAAAAAGGGTTGTAAAGGGTTGAATATTACAATTTTTCCTCAAATTCTAAGCCATTTAGCATCCGGGCAGAGTATTCCGCTGATTAGAGAACGAGGCTCTGTTTACCAGTTTAATAATTAAAAAAACTATCCGAAAACGCTCATCTCCTATTTCTCAGACTCGGTGACAGGAAGCATTATTATAATGAGAGGGTTTCGGTTTTGCGCTCACCAACTATCCTACCAACTTGATAATTATTGGCAAATCTGCCAAAAAAATATGTATTAGCTCACTCTTGTGAAGACCTTTTTCCAGTAATGAACTTTAAAAAGGCATTTCATGACGGTGATGTCACAATTAGTCATAATATAATCTGTTGAAATCCATAAAATCTTATGAGAATTCCTCAACTTCGCCTCTTTTGTCACCAACGGGATGAAATAGAATGATGAATTATATCTATCGCCGCTACCACGGAAAGACCCACGTAGAAAATACACGTAGTTATAACGACTACCCTTTTTTATTCTAACTTTCAACTGTATCCAGCTAACATGGTTTGCCATTATTTAATTAACGAATTAAGCATTTTAGCGACTTCAAAAAAGAAGGAGGTTTGCAGTTCAACGGTGTGTTCTTTGTATTTATATTAGGTTCGTAAAATTTGAACCGATTTTAATAATTACTTTTAATAAATAACTTAAGTTACAGAACTTTAGGGGTGGTCCCATACAAAATTTAAGAAAAAAATTCACCCCAAAGGGAGGGAAAATAGTGACTGAATAACTATTTATACGGATTTTGTCGCATTTATTAACTTATTGTTAATTCCCGACGTTTCGGGTGCTTTACAGCACCCAGTGTCACGGGGGTTTGATGTCCCAATGTAATAGTTAGCCCTTTACTTTGTACTTTTAGTTTTTTTATTATTTTAATTTTCGCTCCGATTTACGCAGAATGAGCTTACATTATCTTGACAAGCTCGAAGAGCTTAGTCTTGCAGTGGTATGCTTGGTTTTGGATTTAATTTTGTTAATTATAGGGTCCCAAGCAGATGGCAGCACCCATCTGTCTTCTTTATATAAATTAAGATTTATTTTAATTATTTTCTACACTCATCAGGTTAAAAAATTTAACTTTAAATAAAAAGTAAAAGCCAACTTCATAGTACTGAAAGGAATTAAATAATTTCCACATAACAGATTCCTAAAAGATCGATTTATATACGGGAATAGGTAATAAAAAGTTAAATATAACAAGTTGTAATATGTTTATATTACTTGTCAAAGACTTTTTAACATGACTAAAAAATAAAAATAAACTATTTTTACAGATACTATCAGAACCATCATTACTTTCAAGATTGAAAAAATACGTGAAAAAGATGGTAAGACCTACATGAATCTGATTGACTATATATATTTAATCGAGCTGGTGGACAATCTTCACCTGGACTTGGATAATTTATTCTCAAGCAATATTGGAAAAGGTATTTTTATTAAATATTCTATTCTTGTATTTTATAGCCCTAGATGTGTGATAGGTCGGATGGTATTCAGGATAATGATAGTCAGACCGTATTTTAAACCTAAACATTTATACCTGAAGATTATCATGAACTTTTCACTGCGGTAATGCTGTGTATTATATTACTGGTGATGATATACTCTTTACGAGTATTTTAATCACTAAAATGCAACTAGTTTACGTTTTCCAGCACTAAATAACGTATTTCTCTTGTATTGAATTCCTCAAAAAAAATAACTCTAATAATTTCGTTTTGTGCATCTGTTTTAAGCTGAGGTGCTTATTATTGTTAGTAACTGTGCTTGCTTATGAAATTTAGACCAAATGTGATAAAATATAGAAGTGAATAATTTCTATATATGTCTTAATTTAAATTTAAGATAATATAACGAATTTTCATAATTATGTCCGTCGCACGTTTGCCAATAACCAATTTATTTTCACTTTCCGTATCAAATGGGTATTACGAGAATGGCCGTTTGTAACAATTATAAGGTTCCACAACCACATTTAGCAATTAGGTTTAAACGTAACGTTAACACAATTATCCCTTTATTAAGCACTAAAAGAGCTTCTAGTTTTGATGAAATAAGAAATAATGTTCTTAAAATATAGGGGATAAAATTGCATTTACTATATCTACGTCTGCGCAAATTTGTTCATATCAAGCAGAGCTAAAAACAGACGTATTAATTCCATCTATACAGAGGATAGTCCTAAAATTATGATGACTATCGTCCAATCTCTACCAAACATTGATTAAATAATCGAAAAATTTATCACTCGACAAGGACTAAACTTCTATTCAGACAACCCTAACATAACAGAAAAACACTTTGATTTCCAACTTAAAAAGCACTACACAACTATTAAGTAAGTTTTTAGATTCCATTTACACACACCTTAATGATAAAAAACATTTCCTAGTTGTATTCATCGATTATAGCAAAGCTTTGATGCTCTACGACATAGTACGCTTATTTAAAAATTTAGTGAGGCGTACGAGGCCATTTATACAAGTGGTGTCAGTATTAATTCCTTTCAAACTTTGAATTATAGAACACTTTATTTCAAAGTTTAAGATGAAGTAAGCTCTAAGGTGGTGATAGTACCTGAAGGCTTAGCACAGGGCTCTGTTTTGGGGCCAATTCACTACATCATATAGGTTAATGATCTGATTAACCTGATTAAGTACTGTAAATCACCCTTCTAACGAAGTGATCCCACGATATATTTAATAATATATTTAATATGTCTTAATAACTTAATTGATTATTCTTAACGCCGACAAAACTAACAGCAGAAATAGCTTTATTTGTTAGAAGCAACCCACACTTGTTTCCTCGCCTATAAGATAATGTAAGACGTAATCGCCGAGATAACAATAGACTATGTGTTCACTGTGCTAAAACAGCGCTTATTTAGTTCGAATATATATTTATATATTTGAACTTAAGTTTAAAATTTGGCTATTGTTTTAAAAATAACCCTGTGTAATGTGTTTTTTTATTTTAATAAATTAAAATAAAAAATAACGACTCGTCGTAGTAGTGCGTAGTATAATAATATTTTTTGAATAGTAACACAACCTATAGTCTAGAATCAATCTACTAATTATTGTTCTGCATATTTATTTATTCTGCCATGTCACGGATAACTCTAAGTTTATCATTTTTTACATCTAAAAATAATAATCATATAAGTACGTGGTAGAGTCACGCTATAATTATAATATTGCTATTATAAGCGCGAATGGGTCAGCTCGACCGGGGAAGGACTGACATGACGCTCTCGCAGAATACCAGCTAAATACTGCTGTGTTTCGTATGGTGAGTGTAGAGATCCGGAGACCCTTTTTTACTGTAAAGGAGGCATTCCTTCTTACTCCTCAAGGGTGACAACGCATCTACGTTTTGATTCTTAATAATCAAATATAGATTTCTATGGGTAACAGCATCCACTTACCATCAGGTGCACAGTGTGCTCGTTTGTCATTCTTATTCTATAAAAATCTTGAAACAATATTTTTACGTTGAGCATAATTAAAAAGCGAATTCTTTGTCTAATTATTCCCCTGATTTATACCAATATTATTAGTATTACTTTTTTTTTTCAGTTCAACCTTACCTGGGAATAATAAACAATGACTGGTGGTATACCGTTGTAAATATTGGCGAGCCCATGGCTAGCGCCATGGTCCAGAAATTCTTCGATGTTTTGAAATTGTATTTCCTTCGCGTACCAGTGGTCAATAATTGATTGATGAATTTGAATGATTATTCTGTTAAAGTACTGTACAGTATATACGCCAACTTAAATAAACATGTAATTGCCATTTGAAAATAAATATTGTTTTATTTTATTATCAGTTCGTTTCTTACATTCAAGTTAAATCGATATGCAAGGTTTTTAGTGATACAGAAGGAACCGTGTAGTTGTGGTGTTTAAGATGTCCACTATCTCATATCAACCCTGAACGTGTAAGAGGCGGCAGAGGGAAACTAAAACAGGAGATGGGCAACAATATCTTGAAGATATAAACTAAATGTTATAAAAACCTGCGGTTTTCATCCCGATTGCCCAAAGTAATAACTTTGAAAAATAACCCCTATAAGGCGATCTATGGGGAGGCATATTTTCAGAAGTAGATTTTTATAGACTGTAATAAATCATGGATTGAAGGTTTTTAATGATGCTTTAGACTCAACGTAACAAATACTCGTGCAAAGACACCGATAACTACTTTCAGGCAACTGAACACATAGATATCTCAATGTGTGCGGCGAGACTTACGCAATTTCAACACGTATTGAAGAAGCAATCGATCGGAACCAGGGCTCCAAAGTCTTTGCTAGAAATCTGTCTGCTAGAATGAGCCAACTGCTGAAGTTGGAGATTGAATGTTGTAGCATCGTTTCCGGGACACCTGAGATTTTAAGTACGATTGAGATGTTCTACGGATAGCTGTAACGTGTATTGTTGGAATCACACGCAAGTATGAGTAACGATTCAAGTGTAAGTCTTATCCGACATAATTCCCATTATATCGCGAACGTCAGTCTGAGCGAGATTAGAATGGCTCTCTATCATTTTCAAAATAGCAAAGCGCGCATAGAATTACAGCGGTGCTTTTGAAAGCGGGTAGCATAAGTACATGAAATCTTTCAGAAGTTTTTCAATTCCTCAGTGGTGGCACTACGAGTACTCCAGAGACGTGCAGCAAAAATGCATTGGTCTTGTTCTTCAAGAAAGGGGACGTTTGTACAGTAAAGCTACGATGGATATCCGAATACGGAAAGAGAGTACGAAACCCATCCAAGTGCAGACAGGTGTAAGTCAGGCTGACGTTATATCCCCTAAACTCTTCACAGCTGCGTTGGAAGAAGTTTTCAAGCTTTTTGGACCGGAAAGGATATGGTTTTAACATCAAATGCAAGTACATCGCTCATCTCGAATTTGCTGACGCTATAGACCTTATAGCAAAATCGTTGAAGGATCTATGCACTATGCTTTACGAGCTCAATAGTGTTTCCCAACAGGTAGGTCCATAAGATGAACATGGATATAACAAAGCTCATATGTAACGTCCATGTCACAATTATGCCGGGATTTGTTGGAGGCATATGTATAGATAGACCCGGTAAGTCCAACTTGAAACGAGAGATCGATCGACGGATTCAATTAGGGTGGGCAGCTTTCGGAAGGTTACGACACATTTTCTAGTCAGGTACTCAGAACTCAGAACTTAAAAATAAATTTGAGACATAGACCTTAAGCTTCCTCATACGGCCAGTATCAGGCACCTCAAGATCGCTAAGCAGGCTGTGGATTGTTTTTTTTTTCAATTATGTGCGAGCAGCTATGCAGGTCTAGGGAAAGAGACCAGTATTACTGGGACCTAAAAAATTATTGTTATCGCTGTAGTATATAGTTTTCCAGATGAGTGTTACGTTTGCGCATTTAGGATCTGCAATCAATTAGGATGTGCAGAGGCGTTTCTTCCGTTATGGAACAGAACCGACAAATCCTTGAGTTGCGTAGACCCAGGATGGACATGTGCTTTTTAAGACAAGTCTTTCTAGTTAGGGGTCTTGCCAGAATGCGCTATTTATTTTAACTTAATTCCAGGGCTTCTGAAGCAAATTTACAATCAAAAGCCTTTATCAAGTTTTAGAATGTTTTAAGTCTGGTGTGTCAGACCAGACCTTAAGTGTTATTATGATAAGGAGTTTCAAGGGTCAATCGGGATAGGCTTCTTGAGATTTCATAAAATGGCGCAGGTCCAAATTGTGTGCACTTTGAGCACTCCCGTGCAAGTTTGTCAGCAAATTCGTTGCCTACAATAACTGCGTGATCCGGAAACCCCGTAAGATGACCCTGTTGTTACATTCCAGGGCGTTTAAATGGTTCACGTAGTCTCCAACTAGCTTCGAGTTCACTAAGTTTGACCTCAGCGCTAGCAGTGCTGCTTAACTATCAGAGTTTTTATAAATTATATGGTTGACGTAGTGTTTTTACGGATTGATTTCCGCTCACTGAAGTATGGCGAAAATTTCTGCCTGGAAGATAAAGGTGAAGCCACCAAAATTCATACTAAGTTTGCATTTGTGGCATTTGCCGTAAATTCCAAAGCCTACTTCCAGGCCCATTTAGACCCATCGGTATACCATATGAGGCTACCGACCTCACAGATAGCCTGGCCATTCAGCCAGTCTTACTTTTTTATCAACTTTAGTTAGCTTTGTTACACCAGACAATAGAGGCTTAGGTGATAATTGGCCTCACCAAGCTACTGTACAGCCATAGGACCATACTGGGACGCAAACCTCAGTTGTTCCCGACTAAACGACTGCACGTACCTAAAGAAATTTTCGCCCTATGGCATACGTTGCTAAGGTGAGAGTTCCACGTTAGTTTTTGGTCGATTGTTACGCCCTAGTACTTAACTTCAGTGCAAAATGTTACTTCTTTACCATTAAGTTTTGGTGGGACTTATTTGTTCAACAGTCTCTTTTTGTAAAGGGTATTATGACAGTTTTATCAGCATTAACTTATAAACTGTTATCTCTACACCAGTTATTTATGGTGTTTAGGGCTCTTTGTATTATTGACGATAAAGTACTTTGGCAAAAGCCCCTAGCAATGATCACAAATTCATCGGCATAACCTAGTGTGTCAATTCGTAGGTCTGCCATTTTGTAAAATAGTTGGTTAACCGCAAGAGTCCAAAGAAGGGGTGACAAAAGACCTCTTTGTGGGCAGCCTCTTGTAGTTGCAACTTTAATCGAAGTTTGAAACAACGCTATATTTGCCTTTCTGTTTGAGAGCATCGACTTCACCCATCTGATAGTTGTGGGGTCAATCAACATTTTTAGATGTCAGGCCCCCAATCAGCAGTGATGTGGGGGCTACTGTCGAAGGCGCCCTCAATATCTAGAAAGGTATAAAGAGCTATTTCTTTATCCTCCAATGTTTTTATTCGACCCTGTCAATGACACTGATCAGGGCTGTTTCCTTAGATTTGCCTCTGCGGTAAGCATGCTATTTGTAATGTATGGGCCTCGTAGCTAGAGCTGCATCTCTTATATATCTATAACCTTTTCCAGTATCTTAAGGAGAAAGGAAGATAGGCTTATAGGTCTTAAGGACTTTGGTAAGGCGTAGTCCTTTCTATCAGCCTTAGGTATAAATAGAACTTTGACAAATGTCCATCGTTCTGGAACATACCCCCAGGTAAAACTTGCTCTTAAGATTTTCACCAGATAGGGAAGAAGGATGTCGATACCCCTCTGCAGTTGGATGGGAATAATTCCATCCTCCTCTCTTGTTTTAAATGGCTTAAAGGAGTCAACAGCTCACTGCACCAGGTTTGGCCTTATTATCTTTGCAGCCCTACACCAGTATTCATTACAAGGCCTTCGTACGCCTCTGAAAGAATTTAAAGCTAAAACCTTGTGTGACCCTGAGAAATGGGTTGAGGCTCCTATGTTTTCCTAAGTCCTAAGGTTATGAGGTTGAACTCCTATGTTTCTGTTTCACTATTAGTGAAGTTACCGTCGGGCTTTTAAGAAGCCCGATCTGATTAGGTTTAGCTTTCGATAGCAATTTGTGTATTCTTGCACTGCGAGGCAAAGACTCAACTTCCTCGCATAGCTTCCTCCACGATGCTCTCTTGACTTTCCTAAATTCCTTGTTATATTCAATTAGGGCTGCACTATAAGTATCCCACTTTTTGGTTTTCTTAGCTCTATTATATAGTTTCCTGGTTTTTCCCTAAGTTCTTTTATATTAGTACTCTACCAAGGAACTTTTCATGTTGAGGTCTTGGTTTTAACGGGGCAACTATCCTCGAAGGCTTCACGAATAACTATGGTTACTGTCTCCGTCGCTAACTCCAGACCTTCAATCGTTTTGATGCTTTTAGTAATTTTTTCCAAATTCCACCTTAGGCTATCTCTGCAGATATCTCAGGAGGTCGCTTTTGGATCCCTAAAAGCAACGATTTCATAGGTTAGTGTGCTCCAATCACAAACTTAATGTGTTTGTGATCAGACATCGAGTTTTCACTACTAACATGCCAGTCACTTATACGCCTGGATATGTTATTAGTAGCAAAGGTTATGTCTAACACTTCTTGTCTAGCCCTCGTAACAAAGGTCGGTGTACACCCTTAGTTTAGGCTTACCAGCCGGTTATAGACGAGAAACTCATAAAGTATCTCACCTCTTTCGTTGATGTTGGTGCTTCACCAGGCTGTGTGGTGAGCATTAGCATCACAACCCACCACAAGTTCGGCGTTGTGTTTTCGGGTGAATTCCGCCACTCGCTTTAACTCGATGGAGAGATCTGAGTTCTCTCCGGGAAGATAGGCTGAGCAATTGATAACTCTGGCCCCTGTGCATTCCTTGAGATTTATGAAGGCTGTAACCAGGTCATCATTGCAGTACTCTGGAACAGCTCAAAGTCCAATATTTTATTGTAAATTATACAAGCTCTGGGTCCACTGCCTTTAGTATTGACAAGAATCTTCCCGGCAGCCGACAAATTCAGAACTTGACTGTTGGCCACCCAAGGCTCTTGTATGAGGACGAGGTCAATATTATCCTCTGCAAATCAAACCTCCACCACGGCAGAAGCAGCTACTGCATTGTGAAGATTTGCATGGAGGACCCTCGTCTTACTCTTGGGGTTAGCCATTTAAGGGCGTGGTGGGGCAGGGGTCTTTTCCGCCTGTTGAGAACGAAGATATCCTTTACCGG